TAGGCAGTTTCCTCAGTCCTCGCATGCAGAGTATGTGAAAAGCATTGCCGCGGGGAAGACGGGTTAATGCTTCGATCATGTCGTGAGCTCGGCGTGCGGTCGTGATGCACGGACTGAATGTTGCGCTAGCTCACCGTTCGAGGGGTCGCTTAGAACGTTGTGCAGTACAGAGATAGACAAAATTTCCATCCCCATGCTCACACTGCAGGAGCATTTTACGTGTGCCTGAACGTCCCTCGACTTCCAAAACGGCTGACTAAGTGGTTTGTCGTGAGTTATTAGCAACGCTCTAGGTGTTTCCATGGGGCACCTACGGGAGTAATAACGACCACTGCCACAGTAATTTGCACCATTCGGATGGGGTGGCGTCTATGTTGCGCGTATAAGTGCGCCCCTCAAGTATGAATTTTATTTGTGAGTCATTGCAGAATAATGCCATTTTTCATGACATTCAAATCATACATCGTCCCTCGCAAGTATGACATATATAAATACGGAGTTCAAGGCATCAATGAATGTCGAGTGTTGAAATGTAAACAAGAGCATGAGGCGCGTGAGAAACGTGTGGTACCGAACCTGAGGTACATGAGGCTTTGTCAGTCATAATGCTAGCGTCAACATCGCCAAATACACCGAGTTAACGTGAGTGAATAGGCTAAGTATCACATGTAACAATTATAGATAGGTGCTGTACGGTGAGAGCAGTCAGCTCAGGGCACTCGACGTGAATTTAGGCGCACTCTTCCTACCACCGACTTTCTCGTTATCCTCATATGAAAGTTCTCTCTCTCTACCTCTCTCTTTTGATACTTAATTTAAAACGAAACTACAGACACTTCGACTACTTAGAAGGGGTGGAGTCATTACGATACCAGAATTTTCACCGCAAGAACAAAATATATTTACAGTTGGTGAAAGATTTTCTATAGGCATGTCCCGCGCTTTGTTGCAACATTTTGCTTTGATTTCCTCTTGTAATTAACTTTAAATACCGATAAGACGTCTTCGTCACTTTAGGTTGCATCACTTTTAAACCACAATCATGAACTACCGACAGATGATCTCATATTGAATAGCCGTTAACCATGCACATCTTCCTCCTTCTACTGCCATTTATTGCTCTCGTTACAAATAGTTTAGGCAGTTTTTTCCGCCCTCGCACTCACTTGCCGTTGGCGGCATTCACTTTCCATTGGTTGGCAAGCGAAGGCCGTCAGTGCGCATGTGTATTATGATATAATGATGCCTTAGCTACGAAAGATACAGTGTTTTCCGAACAACAGCCACTCAAAGCCTCATATATGTCCGAATGTCTTATTAATCTTACACCTGAAGTCCGGATCTGCGTTCGTTGGTACACTGAAGTGAAACGTGTTTTTGCTGGCACACTGATCACGTCTGACAGGCGCTGAACGAATTGAGCTGCTTAGATAGAGGGGTAGGGTTTTGTACTGCATCTTACAGTACGCCCCAGCTGATGTTGTGTATTACGTATGGGCTATCTTAAATGTAGACCAAAAATACTAAACTAAATGTGGCTGAAAGGCTTGACCAGTAAATTTAAGCACTCAAAAGCGTCAAAAATGGCTTCGGGTATACGTGTTATCGTTTGCGCACTTCAAATCTGATATTGAACCAACAGGTAATCGTTTACGCAGTTCTTGATACTGCGCATATACGCTACTGTGATCAACTGCTTCATCTTCTAATGAATGATTTAGCAGGGATCCAGCCATAGGGCTTCATTGAACAATGCGGCGTCCTGTATTGTGATTCAAACTGAAAAAAAAGCCTTCTTTTAGTTTTATTTTTCACATCGCTTACCAGCTGTGAAAGGAAGACAGTGCCAGTCGGTAGAAAGATGATGTACTACGCCAAATGCACCTATTTTGTTTATACTACTTGGCATAAACCTCTTACAGAGCTCTGAATTGAGATACATAAAACAAAACACGATAAAATTTCATAACTCTGTCATGTTCCTGGGCGAAAAAACCTTGTGATGTCGGTACATACAATGCTGTAATTGCAAAGGGCAGATACAGCTAGCTCTTGATGATGAACCCTGTCAGGAAATTGTTATTTTTCGCATTTAACGCTACTCAAGCTTCAGAGTGTTTAGTTTTCCGTAACCAGCATCAAAAATAGCAACCACTGTAACAGCTGCAACTATGCGCTTCAAATTGATATAAACATGTGTTGTTGCAGATAAGCCGTTTCCCTTGGAAGAACAAGGCATATGCTTTAGTTGGTAAGGTACCCGTCACGGGGGCGTGGCTAAGGCACTCGGCTGCTCACCTGCAGGTCGCGGAATGGAATCCCGGCCTCGGCGCCCGCATTTTCCATGGAGAGGAAAATGCTTGAAGCCCACGTGCTTGTTTAGATTTAGGTGCACGTTAAAGAACATCCAGTGGTCGAAATTTCCGGAGTCCTCCACTGCGGCGTCTCTCATAATCATATGGTGGTTTTGGGTTGTTAAACACCACATATCAATCAATCATCCGAGTATTCAGGTGCAATCGACATTTTCTGTGGTTTAGCATAGACAGGGGGCCCTCTCGGGACGTTGCAGAGGCAAGACTCGTTCACACCGAAGGCAAGGCGGCAAAAGCGGCGAAGCGGCAATGCGGGAAGCTGCACATGAATGAAAATCAGAGATGTACCCAGAGTCACGGCAATGAATGCCTCAGTGCCCAGACACAGTCGAGGAAACGCTGTAAGCGTGTTCCTTGAGACGTTCATTCAAACATCGGCCAGTTTGCCTTATGTATTATTTGCCACCGGACAATGGTAAGGAATGCACCAAGTTTTAAACGCATGAATTAAACAACTTATTCCGATGCTTAGTCGGGCAGGTGGTGGTCTTCCTAGCTCCTGGGTTGATGGCCCTACACAGTCTAGCCAGCTTCTCAGGGGTCAAAAAAAAAAAACATCGACGTAACACCTGCCAACTGTCCTCTTCTGGTTATGGGCAGTGCCGTGGATGTAAGAAATGACAACGTACTTATTTAGCCGTCTACTTTCACTAGTCTGAGCCGGTAACCCTGCGCTCATTTTTTGTTCAGCAAACATAAGTACTTGGTCATTCCGTTATCTTTGTCTCGCTACTCGTTTTTCACGTTGTTTCCTTCCAATAGAACGAGTTTAACTTTCGCAGAAGGGTCGCGTGAAAGCGACGCGGGAAATTTGTCCAGGCATTCAGCGTAAATGTTTGCAACTGTGCACGCGTTCTAATGTTACGTCGAAAACCTCAAGTACAGACAGCGAGGGTGTGGGGCAAATGCTGGTGCCATGTATGCATCGAAAATCAGAAAAATGATAGTATAGTGAAGAAAATAATACATCTCGACGAAAGTGGGTCCTCATACTTTTGAGCTCATGTGCGTCAAAACCGATGTTGGCGCATGCCACCACAATTTCGGCGTTTGCAAGGCTCATCGAAACCAACACACCTCCAGCGCGGGGCAATAGGGTGTACCAGAAGTAAACGTTCCACCGCGCAGCATTTGACATAAAAATAAGGCAGCCAAAGTCAGCCAGAACGATTTACTTGGCCGTTTTGCGCATTCGCACCGCACGCACAAATAAAGCTTCGCCCCCATTGCACCTCGGCTTTCCACTATAAATCCTCCGAATTGTTTTCTCTCACGCGCCGGGTGTGTTCAGCGTCCGGGCCACCACGCTTGCCTCGGCTGAGCTGGCCGCGCAGTGAAGTATAGGGAACGTCCTGCAGTGATACCAAGCCGTACGTGGCTCACGCAAAACGCTGTCCCGGATACACGACACGCAACAACGCGAGACGCTCTCGTTAACACCTACCGTGCATGCAACGGAGCGCCGACCGTCGAACGGGCTTTTCGCAACGCATTCTAATCGCGCCCGGCTCGGCGCTCTTAATCCGTCGCCTCGCGGGGAAGACGACGACCAGGGAAGCGGAACGCTTCGCGAATAATGACGTGACACGGCACATTCGATGTGTTGCAGTGTGCAAATGCTGAGGTGCGTGTTTTCGGCTTTTCCGGGAGATAAATAAATAAAAAAACTCCGTAATGTACACCTGGTAGGACGTGGTTTAGTACGTCTAGTGGAAAGCTCTGGGGCCACATTCACAAATTGTTTCTTGTGCAAGCGATCTTTGCTATTGGCCAACCGGTTTCTCTGATTATATGTCTAGTAGAGTGAATGCTTGAAATCTCTTTTACGTGCAATGTCCGTGTAACACCATTTTGAATATACTGGCTCCAGTTGTTGAACGCTTTTCGACAATGCTCTACGCGTTAGCTTATAGTATGTCGAGTATAACAATTATGTGGAATTTTTTCGAAAGAAATTTTCTCGCACAATATTTTTTAACACACCCCGAAGAAAAACATGATACAATAAAGAGATGCCACAGGTAGGGGCTACCTTTATTTATTCGAAAGCCACCATTACGCCAGTATAGAACACAGACAAAAATACTTTGTATTCGCAGTTAATGCACGAAACACTGAAGGAACACGTAAAAGTCAACACAAAAGAGCATGTTGGTCGGTTGCCTCCGCATCTAACATGTACAGTTTTCTCTCACGAACAATGCTAGCGTAAGATTGTATGGCTCCCATTGTAACTTAACAGATGTAGGGATAATGACACTCCTGTAAATATTGCCATGTATGTCACAACAAAACGTGCGTATAGGAAAATGTCGACGTTCATAGCCTTCATTTTATCTTGCACTCGACAAAAAATAAAAAAAACGAGTTGCTCAGTAGATTAGCTCAGCTCTTCTACAAAAAATTGAGCAAGAATGGCTGGTATACGTGACGTGCTCGTGGTCTCTTAAATGTATGCAAAAGAAAGATGAAATATGTTGCACGGATATACCTAGTATGCAAAATTCTGCTTTTCATAACACCGGAATTATTGGCTCTGTGGTGTTGCCCATGATAGGCAAGGCACCGCATGTGCAATGACTCGCTATATACGATTGCAAACGAGAGGGCTGTTTTTCTTCGCAGGTGGCCGTGCTGCTGTGTGCGGCCGTCGTGCTGGTGTCGTGCCGGCGGCGCTATCGCATCCGCTACCTGGATGCTGACGACGTCGACGATGCACCGGTGGTGTTTCGGCGGGGCCGGAGCCGGGACCTGCTGCGAGACCTGGAGGCTGTGGCCAGTGGTTCAGACCGCCCCGTGTACGTGATACGCAGGCGCAAGCCCAAGGACCGCCGCCCACTTGGACATAGCAGCCGTGAGCGGGTGCGCTTCGAGGAGCCACCGGAGGATTTCGACGCTGAGGTGAGGACATGCTGCGACTTTTCTAAGGACTCTTCATCTGCATTCAACGATACGTGCCCTTTAATGTAGTCAACTACGATAAAAAACAGCATAAACATGTCAGGAAGCTTGTACACGCTGTGTTGCTCACAGAAACATAGCCATTTATAAAGCACAATTAATTTCGAGTGCGGTGTGAAACTTATCTTAGTCATTCTCCTCAAAGCGATGACCGCTACAGTTTGCGCATAGATGTTGAGATGCATAAAGTGATTTTAAACATATGTGTCGAAATGGCTAGATGTTAAAATTCAATCATGAAACGTAGGATGACATCCCGTTTTGTGCTAGCGCGGCAATGGAAGTACTAAACTGCAGACAACGCAATGAAATCATTCGATCATTTGCTGCACGAGTGAAAGTTGCAATATAACCGAATAAATGCAGTGGTGCGTGTCTTCAGTCACATCAAGGGCAAGAAGTAAGGCTTTTGGGCATCGATATGGTGCAGCAATGGTACTTATAAAGCAAATAATAGTGTACCCTACCACTGCCATTTATTGTTTATATATAATATATATTAAAATACGTGCTAGACCTAATATTCGCCAGAAGCCTGAACATAGAATGCAACCGCGTGTAACTTCGAGTGATTCAGTAATTTCATAGAAGAGCATACCATCGTTTAAAGCATCGACGTTTGTGGAGACGCAGAGTAATTAATTTTTGTATATATATCGCATTAAATTTCTCATGGCATTTTTCATCCAGATACCTCGCTTCATAATTTACAGTCGTAAAGATGCAGAGTGGGCACCCGTGAATTTCCGCTCACGCTAAGTAGCTTCACTTCAATGCACCACTTCATATGATCCAACACTCCTCTTTCTCTAATACGTTTCTCTAGAATATTCGCTTTTAACGTTGGCATATGACTGTGTGTATATGCTTCAGAATCGACAGGGCTTTGAGGAGACATCGCTTCACAGAATTTTCAATGTTTAATTTTCATCACAAATAAAATACGTGTTTACTGATGATACCTAAAAGCTACCTGATAAAAGTCATTTTGCTATCACGGAACAGAAAATGAGAACAGAATCACTATAATATTTGTGAGCGTTGCAATGCATTCTTGCTGAATTTCACATATGCAGTTCATGGTAGGATCCCAATTAATCTTAAGCCAGATGGTCAAGGACATCAGCAGTAATGCAGGCACTACAGAAACAGGGCATTGAAGAACACTACATACACACTGGAAAAAATCTACAGTGAATCCACAGCCGCCGTAGTTCTCTATAAAGAAAGCCGCAGAATCTCAATAAACAAGGGTGTAAGACAGGGAGACACAATTTATCCAACGCTATTCAGCGGTCGTTTACGGGAGATTTTCAGGACACTAGATTGGAAAGAGTTAGGAATAAGAGTTAATGGAGAGTATCTTAGTAACCTGAGATTCCCTCATGACATTGGCTTCATAAGTAACCAAGTGGACAAATTATAGCTTTTAATTACTGAAATGGACACGCAAAGCAGAAAAGTAGGTCTAAAAATGAATATGCACAAAACTTAAGTAATGTGCGACAGTCTCGGCCGAAAACAGTACTCAGCGATATCTGAAGAGACACTGGAAGTTGTAAAGGAATATGTCTACTTAGGACAGGACTACCAAGCCTAATCATGTGAGTGAAATAGCTAGAAAAAAAAAAGAACGGGGTGGGTCACATCCAACAAGCATACTTAAATCATGAATCGTAATCTGCCAGTAACCGTAAAGAGAAACGTACATAGCAGCTGCATCTCACCAGTACTTAACTATACAGAGGAGAAACCTGATGGCGCACAAAGAGTGTTCAGCTTAAATTGAGGGCGGCAGCTTTCCACACCCCCTTTTTTACAGAAGAATTTTTTCCGGAACAGATAGCGCATAGCTGCAAACATTGCTCATATTTGGCGACACTCATACATATGGAGTGGACGTGCACACACATAAACACCCTAGAGTATCGGGAGTCCCTCTTGCGTGCCTCCGAGCCAGAAGACCAACGCCGGCTCATCCAGCACGCGGTGGAGGCTGCGGTATCCCAAGGGATCCCCGCTGACCTTCTCTGAAATAGTGCGACCAGTCTCTGTACTGGTTCCCTCTATTTGCTTTAATTTTTTTTCTGGGAGAAATAAAGATACTACCACCACCACAGTGAGCGATGGAAAGGAGAATGATAGGTGTAACTATCAAGAAGAGAGCAAAGTGGGTAGTCAGGGAACAAACCGGGATTAAAGATATCATTGTTCAAATCAGAAAGAAATGGACATGGGCCGGGCACGTAGCACGTAGACAGGATAACAGCTGGTCATTAGGAGTGACTGACTGGATTCTCAGAGAAGGCGAACGCACGAAGGGGTGACGGAAAGTTAATTCTGTCGATGAGATTAAAACGTTCGCAGCTATACCATGGCAGCAAAAAACACAAGACTGGGTTGATTGGCGGATCACGAGAGAAGCCTTTGCCCTGCACTGAGCGTAGTTAGGTTGATGACGATGAGATGGTCATGACAATCTCATGGATTGCCTAGAATAAAGCACACGTTTACTAGGCAGTACAACCAGTGTTGCTAAACTTCACGTAAATACGTATATTGTGGGGCAGTTATCTGCTTGTTTGAGCCATGGACTGAACTAAACAGTCCATGTTATATTGAGCAGAAACTACTGAGTTCATGGTAGGGGCAGTCCACGATATTCAGTAGTGAAAGAAGGGAATGTAGCAAAATATTAGGGCGGTATGGCAGGGTAAACCCCCTGAAATCAAATATGCAATTTTGATATCGAAAAACTTGCTGTACTCTGAGGAAGAAACGTGGGGAAGCCAGATATCGAGCGGCGGCTAAAGGTGGTTTAAATGCGGCGCCAATGTGCACCTGTGGCCTCTGACGCAAGCACGTAAAACTTCGTTTTTGTCAAATTTCATTTTGATTTTATAAACTTTTCAATGTAAGTGTACTTTTTGGAAAAAGTATTTTTTATCAGATTTCAGATTTTTTTATTGGTACGAATACAAGAATGTGACATGTGTTTAGTATACAAAAGGAGGTCCCAAAGTCAAAGACTGTATCGGGACCTCCTGTTAAGGGCAAATTGAGGTTGAATGGATTTCGACAAAACTTCGAATGCTTGAGCTACTACAGGTTAGAAACAATCTGAACTATAAATTGCTGGTTTTGTAAAAAGTGAAGCTGTAAAAAATACACCACAGTACGTGCCTTCAGTGGCCTTGTGTATGCACTAAGTTTATTTTTTTTCCTACAAAAGCTTCAAGAAAATATGACATTTTTTAGTCCAGATATAACCTACGAGTCTGTAGAATAACACGGCTAAATATAATTTCATTACATTACTTCTGGTAGTTGCAGAGAAAAAGTGCATTGAATAAGTGAACCCCTTTAAAAATTGGTAGTGAATCATAGGAAGGATAGGCAACCTAGGCATAAAAAAAGGGTGTCACTTGAAACCTAGTAACATTTTTTGTGTGCACGTAACATTTTAGTGGAATACTTGCAGCCGTTTCCAACATGTTATGCTAAAACTGACATATACCATTTACCCTACCATAAACCCTAAAGAAACCCATTTATACAGACTACTTGTTGCGATTGAAGCATATGGTTCACCAGATAAAGGCAAATACCAAGCGATAAAATAATGTAAAAAGGAATCAGTAATTTCGGGGAGACTCCACTCCCAAATGTGGTGCGACTTTCAATGGTGCACCTCGACAGCCGGGTACTCATGTGATCTCAGTCGCATGAGGAATTCCATAATTAAGTAAGATTGCAATGTGGGTGGTTTACTGTTTATTTTATCACTGATTGAGCTAAAAATATAGTGTGAAATATAACAGGAGGGAAATCAGGCAATAATGCTACGTTAAATAGGGTCCCACAGCTCACAGCTCAGCAAGGTGAAATGATTTTTTTTTTCAAATGAGATCGCAAACATGCCGAGATAAATACAGTTTGATTGGTTCGTCCTTGGGAACTTTTTGTTTTAACTGCATTTCCTTCCCCTTTTCACCTTTCTTCCCTCCGTGGTCGCCGCTGTTTCTCTCAAGGTGAGGAGAGCACACAACTATACGGCAACACCAGACCAGTGCTCTGTAGCCGACAATTGCGTGCACAGGCCGATTTATGGCACCGAGGGCTGGCGACTCGGCCGTGAAGGAGGAAGATCAGGCCCCTCTTTTGGGGCTCGAACATGAGCGCGATAATGCAGCCGGAGCAGATGCAATCACAGGGCTAAAACGAGAGACTGGATATACTCTTGAACGTTGCCCAGCCTACCCCTTGCGGAAGCAGTTCCAGAGCACCTATTTTTCTCTTGTTCCTGTTTACCTTAATAAGCAGCTTCGCTGTCGAAGACGGGAAACGACTATTTTCATGCGACACTTTTAACGTGGATGCTAACCTGACAACACGCCCGTCATGACCTTCTGCAGTTGGCATTTTATTTACGCTGCTTCATTTGAGTGCGTTCATTCATCGTTGCATTCATTCTTTTGTCCTCGCAAAGGTGGAATTTCATAAAAAACATTCTCATATCCTATCAATAATGAAATTCGTTAACATCCTTTTGTTAACTGAAAGGTCAAGTCGGTTATCGAAGTTGTAGATGTTTTTCATAAAACTAAGAGCATTGAGGAAGAGGAAAGAAATATGCAGAAGGACAGGAAGGTTAGCCAGTTCTTAGACAGGCTGGCTACCCTGTGCTGGGGAAAGAGGTTAGGGAAATAAAAGATGTCAGAAAATAACTGTTGCAAAGAGAGAAAGAGAATACTAAAGATATCGAAAGAGGAAAAGCCAAATCAAAGAGGATATCGCACTAAAGTTTGCCTCTAAAGCCAGTTGCCTGCAAAAAAAAAACGTAATAAAACTTTCAAAGCCTTCTAGGCTGAGGATGAACTCGGCCAATGACCCAGAATTCTTTGTTCTGACAAAGGCCGATCATCTAGTCTATCTAGAGCTTCGGTAAGTTTTTGTCTTGGCGCGTTGAAAAGGGTGCACTCACTCAGAAGATGGGCTCATGTTTCTTCACAGCTGCAGTAATTGCATGGATACAGAGCAGCTGCCCATTCCAACAAGAAAGAAGTATGCGTTCATGAAGGCCACGCCAAGCCACAGGCAACACAGAAGAGTCTCCTTAACTCGAGACATTTCTGAGGGAAGACGAAGCTTGAGATCGGGATCCAAGTTAGGCATGAGAGCCACAAAAGAAAGGAACAAGCAAGCAAGTTAGGCAGGCGAGCGTTTGTGAATTCCGTCGAGTTCCACTATACCAGTGTGAGGTCCCGTGCAAGCGAACGAACTCTTGTATATAGCTGCGTCAGTTCTTGAAAACGGGATGGCTGTGTATTGCATACCGTCATGTGCAGACCTAGTGGCCTCATCTGCCTGGTCGTTGCCATTTATACCGCAATGACGTAGTATCCACTGATACGCTATGCTGCGTTGTCTCTCGATTGCTTGGTGGTGAAGAAGCCTTATATCAGCTACTAACTGTTACTTAGGTTCATGAGAAAAGGGTGACATGAGACATTGAAAAGCTGCCTTCGAGTCCGAGAAAATAGACCAGGTTTCCGGATGTTCTTCCACTCTAAACTTAATAGCTGCACGTATGGCGGCGAGTTCTGCAGCGGCTATTGCGTCAAATGCGATGTCATAAATTTAATTGTGGTGGAATTGGCGATAATAACCACCACCCCTGTTGAGGTTACTGAAGAAACATAGCCATCCATGTAAACGTGAAGGGGTCCGGTGTGTCTCTCGTGCAGGAACAGTAGTGTGGCCTGTTTCAGGGCTAGATGTGACGACCGTTTCTTATTTTTGATTTCATGAATCGTAAGAAAAGCTTTGAGTGAGTGTAGGCAACACAATGGCAACGGCAGCCGTGCTGCATACGTGAAGTGCAATGGAAGCACTGCGCAATGCTGAGCTACAGTTGCACTTAACGCTGAGTGGGGCCTAGAAGCTCGAAGTGAGGCGAGGTGATACGATGAAATTGGAGCGAAATGTCTCAAGTGCATGCTCAAAGCGTCTACGCGGAGCTATGTGCGTGTTGAGTGAATAATCATCCACGATGACGACTGTCGCTGCTGTATATGTGCATATCGGAAGACCAAGGCTTATTCGCAGTGCTTGGGCTTGAATCGACTGGAGGACGCACATGTTTATTCTTTGGATCCGACAAAGCACGGGTAAGCTGTAGCACATAGAACCGAGGAACAGAAGAGTGTGTAGAGCTGAAGCATCGCTCGTACAGAGGCACCCCACGTTTTTTTCAGTAAGAAACATAAGTTCTTGGGTGATCATGGCGAGTTTCGTTTTCATGTAGGAGATGTGAGGGCTCCAGGAGTGGTCACGATAAGCTACGACTCTGATATATCAGTGGGTCTTCACGTAGTTGATCGTGTGTTCGTTGACTTTAATAACATACGGGCCCATCGCCTTATGCGTGAATGATATAAACGAGCACTTCTCCAATGACAGCTATAGTCCCCATCCGTCAATGTACTTTGTGGCCAGTGTAGCCGCTTTCTGAAGCCTATCACGCAAATGAAGGCGTGTTACGCCTCACGGCCAGATGCAGATGTTATTTACATATATTTATAGATGCACTGATCATGTAAATGCGTCAACCAGGCCAAGGAGCACTAGATTGAAAAGTGCAGGGCTGAGAACACCACCTTGAAGAGCATTAAAGAGCACTGAGAGCGAATGTGCTCTTGTGGTAGTTGAGCCCTCGTGCAAGATCCACCGAAGTATATCGCGATTTATCTGTAGTATAAAAAAGGGAATATTTAGTTGATTGATATGTGGGGTGTAACGTCCCAAAACCACCATTTGATTATGAGAGACGCCGTAGTGGAGGGCTCCGGAAATTTGGACCACCTGGGGTTCTTTAACAGGAATATTTAGTTACTATGGCGCGCGCACATATTCGGCAGCGCCAACTCTGTAGAGAGGCCGAGGACAAGGCAAGGAATGAGACCAGCAAGAATACAAAGGTCTACTCGTCTGTTTTTGACGCGTTTCCTTCGGTATAGATGACGGTGTTTACAGTGATGCCACATTTAAATGAAGGGTTAACCAAATGACAACCGAATGAATTTTAGGCCCAGGACTGCTTATTTGAATTGGAGATGTCATCTTAACAATGTACCAGAGCATATGACAGAGACGCTTCGTTGAAATAAGACGTATTTTGAAAAACACGCGACATGTGCACACGCACACTAGCCGGATGTTTTTTGCTCACCATATTCCGCCGCTTGTACTACAAAGCTTTGTTCGGGCAAAAAAAGGAAAAGAAAAAAATTAGTAGAGTAGAAGCCAGCGCTGGCGTAATTAATAGGGCGGCGCACGCTGATCGCGCAGCCCCAGGCTCATCGGCGGAAGTGGAAGGAGAACGTCCCTAGCGGTTTTCTCACATCTTGCGTGCGCACCCGAAGCGTGGAAAGAAACAAAAGACAATAACGCTATCGGGAAATGAGCTCGCTCGCCCGTGGCGCCGAAACGTGGTTTGACAGAGCACCTGGCGATGCGATCTCCGTCGTTGGCGCCGCTAGCGTGCCTCAGCTTGATACAGCGCCGATATAACTGCCGTGGGAATGGCGGCGACTCCGGGGCGACACGGAACAGCGCGCCCGGTGAACGCTCAGTGAAATGAAGAGATCGGCGGCTCGTTGAGAACGTCGCGGGAGCCGCGGCTACACGCGTGGTTGCCCACAGTAGGCTTGCGCGATACGCTTTGCTATACAGCCATCGAACCACCCGCTTCACACGCAGCTCCTGCTTGGCCTCAGCCAGAGACGCTTGGACGGACAGACGTGACGAATCCGACACGCTTAAGTTTTCAAACCGGAAAAGAAATCTCTGCGTGCAAGCGTATAGAGAAAAACACGGACGCACACTTTTTGTATTCGAGCGTATTTTCTTCCGTTCGTGTTTTCTTATTTTCACCAACGTAGCTCGAGAGTTCTCAATTCCACAGTTCCACACATCGCGCAGCAGGTGCGAATGAAGTATGGCATTTATTGCCATAACGTGTGGGTAACTGTGCGTGGCTCGTCAAGGGAGGTTGCGTGGCACTAGATTTAAGAAGCGATATTATCACGAGACACGCGAAGACGAGGTGGATGAAACAAAGACGGCGAAGTCAACCAGGGCTTAGCCTGCTTGGCTACACCGCTGTGGGGAAGGGGGAGAGGAAAGAAAAGAAAGACTACTGCTGGGCCGCCAACGTAATACCGAACAGATTTAGTACGAACAGTGAAGTTGGCGGAGATAAAAGGAAATTCACGCCAATTTCTCATGAACTCCGTGGCTTTGATGTCAGAACGATCTTGCAGCGATACATCCTGCCTGTTACGCGTTCAAAAAAAGTTTACTAAAAAACATGATTGGCATATCGATTACGACACAATATTACAATTGTTAATGACTCTTTACGAGCATTGCTATGTGTCTGTGACGTCAAATAAGCAAACGAGATAATTTATTATACTTCATTTGATTTATTTGAACTTCCACTTTTAAGCAGGAAGACATCTGTTTCATATAGTTGGACGCATTCGTCGTGCTGACACTCTCCTACATTGATGCAAAGTTATTTCAAACCAATTTTCTCGTGAAACTGGTAGCTCACTATGAACGATGTGATACAGCACATATACCACAAAAAAAAAAAAAAGGTTGCACATGCTTCACTCCCGTATGCGGAACCTCAAATAGAAAGGCGCCATTTTGCAGGAGAATGTGTTTGCCCACCCATGGCGAAAATCTTTTTTTTTTTTGTACAATGTGGCAGACACCCTATCCCATCTCCTACTCTAATGCAAAGGCGGCAATTCAGCCACACAAGCAGCAGCAATAAACTCACACACGAATCTTCTCAGTGAAGCGTGTGAGGATGTGATCTCCAAGGCGGAGCTGGTCGACCCGCGCCAACTCATCATGCGGGCCGGGTAGGCGGTACAGGCCAGAGGGTTCATTGAATAATAGACCCTCCCGTCACCATCCCGTCATTGGTCACCTAATAAACGTCTTTGTTCTCTTTCCCTCTTCTTACCAACTAGATCAATAAAGAAAAAAACATAGGACAAATGTTAACTAAAGCTGAAGATCTGAATGCGAGAAGGGGGAATAAATGATCAGGTACTTATAAAGGCTTTTTTTCTCGCCAGAAAATATGGCCTAAAGCTGCAATTTCCACAATGACTGAGTAACTATAACTGAGCGAGTGAGTGGGTGAGTGAGTGAGTTAGGCAATCTTATTGGGAACACAATAGAACCAACGTCACCTGTCTAGGGCACGATGAGCACACTTTTTCCGGCTATCCTGAGGTTCTAGCCGCAAGGTACCGAGCCCCAAAAACTGTAACCCCCTAAAATGTTGAATCCTTATGTCTGAGTACAGCACGTATCTAATGGCGCCCCAATGCAGTCGATAATACTTTTCGTGGACGCGGCAAGGCAAAGTTGGCCGAGCCGTATCACTGTGACTGTGCTACACTTAGTTTGTGCCTAACGTTTATATCCCTTGGCGCATTCTACTCTTTCCAGGAAAGCAGGCGGCCGATGCCACCACTGCCTGGCCAAGATCCATTCCGCCCAACTTTTGTCGTCCAAGGCACGTACGCCCTGCACCCCAGGTCTCAGAAGTTGATGCCCTACGAAGGCGAACACCCGATACCCATCCCTCGAGAAGTGTTCTCCCAGATTTCGTAGAGTGCCGCCAGGCAGGCCTGGAAGGCACCGTTTCCCTACAGAGGGCAACTGAGACGTCAGGGTATCGAGTGCACAACCAGCGACAACCGCTGCAGTGCAGAAAAGCAAATGAGCAAAATGTATTAACCTTTTCAGGGCTGGAAACCCGCGGGAACGGACAGAAGGCATTACAGTCGCTCACCTGATACGAGAGTGGTATTCATAAAAAAAAAAAAAAATGTCGCGCGTTGGCTTTTGACGCGGGCGTCTTATATTGCACATCACACTTTTGCTGTTATTTTTTGTTTTATTGTTTTTTAGTTTTTTGGCACAGGGCAAATGTCTGATAGTGTCATCCCAGTAATTTCTTTTTTAATTTTTCATGAAACCAAATAATTCCAGTTGTGTATACATTTTTCGGTAGAGCATAACGCTTCGGTGAACAAATAAATACACAAAAAGGTTTTGTTCTTTTTCTGCATTACATCATGACTAAGAGGTACCATCTTGTGCTGTCTTTGACTGAGGCTCAATATAGGGTATATTTATTATACGTACCTCACTGACAGCGCTTTGCCTTTGCCCAAGCATCGCATTTTGTGCGGACCTTTCAATAAAGACTTTTTCATGTGCAAGTTGAATTTCTGTCTGTTTTCTTTTATATGAAGGACAACTTTTCTTTTTTTCTGAGGGACACCGTTGCAATAGTAAATAATTACGTTTCAAAGATTTTCACAGGGTATTACCTGGTTCGCCTCCAGTTTCATGCTTTTTATTTGCCTTGAAATTCTTTTAAAGCAATGATTTGTGGCAGCTTTGTTGCAGTATTATAATTCTTCAGTGGAATGACTGCGAATGAAGAACGTCAGTTGTAGAATAAAGTGCAACGTCCAACCAACAAATTAGACAGATACATATTTAGCTTCCTAATTATTCTTACCACGCAAACAAAAAATGAATTCACATTTGTGAGGCAGAACATCCCAGAATGTAGATAATAATGACTAATAAATATTACTAGTAACTGAAACGCCAACGTATTAGTATAATATGTAACAAATTTTTGAGGCGGAAAGTTTGTCCTGGTTAGAAAAAAAAGACAAGGAAAATGTATAGAAAAACCAATAATATTAACTAGTAATGGCCGCTTCAATTTGCTACGGGAAGGAGAAAAAAACAAGAAAGAAGCTCAAGCCAAGTAATTGCAACAGTGCTTAAATCATGTGTTCGTTACCCTAGGTGACATTTCGAGGTCTGTTTTGTAGGCTCGTGAACGTCGGGGTCATGAAGATATATGCTTCCGAGATTACATGACTGCCACTCCCTATTAATAAAGGAATTTCAAGGCACTCCCTAAAGCAAGTGTAAATTAGGAGGTTATCGTGAATAAGGCTTTAATAAATCCTTTCAAATTCGCGTTTTGACGTGTAAGTAAAGGACACCTCTTCATTTTACATACACCTTATAAAAGGAAACTGAAGCACTAAAAATCGCGCTGAGATGTGTAACTACAGTTTTATCCCAGCTGTCATATTACACCATTGTGGGAATTCTCCAAAAGACAATGCGAATGATATTTTTTTTGGCAATAAACTGCGGCTGCGGCCATAGTTGAGGTGCTGAGTAAACGCGGTGACGCTGTCTTCGGTATGCAGCGTCATCTGCAACAGCACCATGATTAAAGAGTGGCCTCCGTGATTAGCCCCGACAATGGCACGCAGCCTTCTTATCAAGGTGGCCACATTTACAAAAAGCATTTGTTGTCCTTATGGCAGATATTGTTATGCAGCTGCATAACGTTCACTGTTTCTAGGCGTACTTGAGCTTCCGGCACATCGACAGTGCTCTTGCAGTTAGTTGGGATGAAAACCTATGCCCCCGGAGTAAGTCATGACTCCATCAACGAAACCGAAAGATGACGCAGTTCCGGATATTTCATTTACAAGCCCAAACATTCAACGTCGTCGCACGCGCAGAGGAAACAAACTTTCCTTTCGTGTACTAGAAAGTGCCTGCTGCAACAACTGCCAAAAAATTACACCATTGGCAATAATGTCCTTTCTTGTAAACCACGAAGTTTGAAAAAATTTAGTTCGACCAATTCTAAAACCACTTCAGGTTCCCTTTAACAGATTAATTTGAGGCAAATATCAACATCCCCGACTTCTGTGCGGTGAAAGTTTTGAAATTCTGCCAATCCAGATTGTGCGAAATTCCGCGGAAATATTTATCAGGCATCAGGCACATGTAACGACTTATTTAATAATCTCTTCCCACCTGTAGACGTTCTTGAATTGTTAAAACTGAAAGAATGTGGTGGGGCAAAGCATAAGTTTTGGCTTGTATTTTTTTTTTTACCATTGACCAAGAGAATGACGATCGTAACTCACAATGTCACCATAGCGCCTGAACTATCTTCCTGTATCAACATAGTTAGCCGTTACATATAGGTATTTGCTGAAAATTGAAGAAAGTAATGAAGTGTTTCATTCTTGTCTAGACCGCCAGAACTTTTAAATCTACACATGACTTTTCTTGTTAAAGAAATGGTGCTATCGGTGTCGCTAGTCTGTGTCGCTTAGTCCCTGCCACTAGCAGCATTCAGAAAGGCTGTTACTTTATGCTGAAAAAACTATTCACAGAGTGGCGGCATGCATGTTTGTAGTTTTAGAATGGGTGGCTGGGCGGTGGCGGGTGTACCATCACTAAAGTATCCGCTGGACGAAAAAGGAAGCATCGTAAGAGCACTTCAAAACCAACAGTGCCTGGGCATCGCAATTCATGAAGAGGGCTGGCTTGAAGATGACTACACATCACAGCTTGCCTTCATTCCACGTACAGGTGTTATTCGATTCTAATTTGAACACGAATGTTCACACACTCCTAATTTTGGCACATTGCCTTGAAGAACTGCAGAAATATTCGCAGTATTCCGGAAAACTAGAGCCTCTAGTCCACTTTGTATCCATTTTTTCCCTTGTTTTCACTCTAAATCAACACCACAAGAGATGACAATTTACAACTTTAATGCTGAAACTATGGAAGCGAAAATTCTTGTTAAGGATTGACCGAAGCTCTGAACCCGTTAACGGTGCAATAGCGGAACAAAAAGACACAAAATCTCTCAAAGCTGACACATAATATCATAAATGTAGAACCGTGGTAAGGCGTGCTTGCACGGCAGTTTTTAGTTTACTGTTATTTGCTTTGTGTGGTAAGCTTGGGGAGGCATGCCAGCCGTTGATGTTTTAGAGGCATCAATTCAGAGGCATCATTCACGATTGTAGCGTTTATTAACTGTTAAAACCCGCTCTACATGTGATACATAGTAGCAATCTTCTTAAGGTATTCAAATGGCAAAGAAACAGGCTTGTTCCGCGGCACGCATGCAGGTCACGACGCAGGCGTTGCCCTCCTTTGGCGGTCAGTGCTCTTCCAGTTCGTTTCGCAGGTGGTTCTCTTGCACGATGTAACAAGAAAAAACAAGATATATGCTCCGCACGTAGGGTAAATACGCAAACAGGTGTCTGTCACAGCTGCTAGTGAGCTTCTTGTTCGATTCTCTTAGGCCTTTCATGTTAGTCGGAAGTCATGCTTTCAGCCTAGCACATATGCCGATAACGTTAGACAACAATAGAAGCTTATGAGGTAGAACCTGTTTTTTTTTTGTGTTGACGAGGTGATTCGCATAAACACCAACAAAACAGAAATATGTTGTTCTTTTCTGTGTATTTTATGTGGGCGAAGAAAGAAGGACTGCGATTGAAAGTTGCGCACACATTGAACGTCGCATTTGCGCTTGTCAAGCGTACCAATTGTTGAAAGGGCTCCAAAATTTGTCAACTTTCGTGCCAAGACTTCTGTTTTGCATTTGTGTTTCGTTTCAATTAATTGAAGCGAATAAAATGCTCTAACGGTGGCTTGACGATCCTGGGGTGAACTCTAAAGAACTAGCTTTCACCACTATCAGTAATAAGTACGAGGCCAGATCACAGACGCGTGAATGGCTAACAATAAAGTCCTGTGTACAAACAAGCTATCACCTTTGAAACAAACACGCAATATTATTTCACCTATAGCCCTGAGTAACACTATCAATGAGATGAGTTGTTTTTTTCGGTATTGAAGTGTTTCCAGTAGGTAAGTGTGAGCGATTCCGTACGAACTTCTGCGTGACACAACACATCCCCTGCTATCGTATCACACTGCGAGCGGAAGGTGCGGTATAAAATAATGACTTCTGTTTATCGAAAAAGGCCAGTAGCTGTGCCCTACTTCTGCTGTGACAATGCCTTTACAGCAAACACCGGCTATTACTTTCATTGCGCGAGTACAACTAATCCTATAGCCATCAGCTTCCACACAAAGCCACATTTCCGTAGAACGTAGCGAACCAGTAATACGCATTCAAATATTGACCCTGTGGAACGATTGCCTCACACCCGTATAGCTGGCCTCTCGATCTACGCGTGCAGACATACAATCACGTCTCATTGGGCACCTGAAGAATTGCTTCAGAGCTTGCTCTCGTGTAGGAATCGCGTGACTCAATCAAAGAATGAGACACGGTACGTATAGTATTCTCGAAAATGAAAGAAGGCTGGTCTCAGCCTTTGATGATTCGTTTCTTTCAAGGGCCGTGTGCACGTAGGTGAATATGAGTGCCGACTCAACTGCACTGGTCAGCGAGCGTTTTCGTCGGTATACGACTCGCGAAACAACGCCGTCATAGAGAACTGGAAACGGGTCATGTGAACGTGCAAACCAACCGGCCTTTCAGCTGTACTGTCTCCTCACGTGTGCATGCGCAATCGCGTTGCCACACGATTCTCTGCTCTCTCTCTCGCCTGCTTTCTTTTTTTTTTCTTGTAGACAGAGGAGTACAGGTGAGGAGGCGAGAGGAAGCACGGAGTATGGGATCTCAGAACAGGAGTCGTGTTGGGTAACCTGTTGGTTCATCTTCCAGTTTGACTGTGTTCTTCACCCACGTTCGTACTCACGGCTTGTTGAAAGCCAGAGGTCGCATAAAGAACGCCTCACCCTCAACTAAATATGTGGAATATAAGCTATTTGCGTCACTAAAAAAGTGGCGAGAGCCCGTGAGATCAACATTATTCAGTTATCTTCAGCATTAACCAGGCTTCAGCTAGATTGCACAAAGATAGAATGATGCCGTTTTTCCTAAACACTGATGAGGTAAGAAGACTGAAAGATTGTGGAAGCTTAGTCAAAACACCTAAGGAATGCTGCATAGTGAACGGTAAGAAACATTGAAGTGCTAACATATTAGTACAGGAATGAATCACTTATTAAATATACAAACTGGATGAAAGACACCTACAATGAATAAGAATTTTTCAAGGCCAAGATCTGAAATTCGGAGGAATGAGCGGAAATTGTAAATAAATTTGCAAACACACAGCACATAAACAAGATGTTTCCGTGTCGAGGTTTGTTCGGTGTGATTTCGGTTCTAAAACCCTGTTGAATAATATTTCTTTCCTAAATGTAATATTAACCCACATTTTTTTTTTTATATTTAAGCGAATGCCCGAAAGCGAAGCGCCGCTTCTTCTGCAATATTGTCATTTTGTCAGAAACTGTAGAGGCTATAATGGGTGCAATATGCCTTTTTTTTGCG